TTCTTTTTCAGCAAAAAAGAATTCAATTACAGCTCGTTGCTTGTAACGAGAGTCGTTCACAGACGCCATTTTAACAGTTCACTACAGCTCCGCCATTGGTTGGAATCATTTGAAACTCCGTACACGAACGCGAGAAACATCAAATCTCAAGCATGTAAAAGTACACTTTTCTATCTTCATTATTGGCTGAGAAAAAAAATGTGGGGCATTATTTAATGAGCGACCCTCGTATATTACAAAAGTGTTTAACAATGACAGCTTTTCAGCATAATTCAAATAATGTACTAAATGTGGTTTCCCAAGTAGTTGATATTAAGATGCCAATGTGTATTGGCTCTTTTATTGAAGTTAAGTTTCCATTTTTGGTAAATTATGAGTTTCAGAATTCATGCATATATTTTGTTGGTTTCTGATGTACAGTATACCATTTGCTCTCTTTTTTAGCCCTTCCCTGTTACGTATTAGCATGGTGAAATAACTCAGATTGATGCAGTTTGTAAATAGTACTGTCATTTCACTGATGACAGGAAATTCTTAATGTAGGAACTGGCATTGTCCTTGTTGCAGGGATCCTGTTTTCATTAATTAACAAATGCTCAGAGAACAGGTGTAATTTGCTACCATAAGTTGAGACTTTAAAGCCATGGTTGATCATTATCTGTACAGGAGGTTCTTGAGATGTTGATTCATAGTGTGATGTACATTTCCTTAAAACCCAATGTTAACCCTTTAGAACTCAGTGGTAACTATATATACCATCTAATTAAACAATCAGTAACTCTGCATTTTGGCCACAGTGATTTATGGGTTTTGTATAATACTCAGAATAAACTGATTATTTCTTAAAATAGCATTTACCAGTTGATCTTTTTAGTAGGTTGATTTTTTTGAGCCAGGGGCTGAATTTTTAAGTATCATTTAGATGAGCTTTGGCTTCAAAGGATTGACTATGTGAATGTTGAATGATCTGCAAATAGTATGGGTAGATTCTCAGGCATCCATATGTGTACATGTATTTCACCCAGGGAATGAACTGTTTTCATATATTCATATAAATCACACTTGTTTACATTATGTTATGTCTGATGTTATATTAGTAATCATATCCTTACAGGGTATTTACAAATAAATGGGCAGTATGTAGTCTGTTAATGGGAAATCTTGTGACTAACCAGAGTAATTATGATTTAAAATTCTCAGGACCAATTTCCATTGTTATAAAGAGTTCTGTGGTCGAATGTGGAAGTCTGACATTTAAGAATATTCAGCATGTTCATTTTTGTGCATTCAGCAAATCATTATGGTGCATGGTTTACCAAGTAGGATTTGAGGTTCACATGGCAGTGAGTATGAAGATGGCTTTCTTGTAAGTTGTAGTTCTGTATAGTTTAGTATGAGTTTACATTGCTGCCACCATCATCAGGGCAATAATGCAGGCAGCAAGGACTTCTGAAACGTTGGTAAACTTCTACCAGGCTACATGGCACTACATCCAAAATGCTGCATCTATGGTAATTCATATTAATGAAGAAGTGTAAGAAGAGAAATCACAATAATTTGTTCTTACATAAATTACAGTTTTTACTGGAACTGTTTGGTTGACAGTAGTAATTCAGTTAGTTACAACATACCATACAGGAGTTTAATGTACTGTTAAGATGACTGAAAGATGAGCAGATAAAGTAATAATTGACATTGTAAAGGCCTTGTATTGCACTGTAGAAGTTAATTTTTACACCAAAACAATTTACCCAAGCAAGTGTCTTCATTAAATACCATTTTTGTGTGTGTATGAATGAATCAACTTGGCATATTAAGTTGTGACAGAAGGGCCTATCTGAATTCAAGCATTGTATGTGAAAATGTTTTAAAACAGTGTGTAAGTATTTTAGATAGGAACAGTTTCTTTTTATGTGCTGTGGTTTCACTTTCTGCTCAGTAATATGTAATTGCATTTCTTGAGAAAGTAATACAATTTTGATATGAAAAATAAATTGTTTACAAAGTTTGTTTTTATTTTTTTGGTACTGGTACAGATATTATATTCACTTCTTAACATTATATTGAAATCAGTAACCACTTAAGAGTTGTACCAGTACTGCAGCCTACTGTACATTTACAGTACAAGAAATGAAAATGATGGAAGAAAACAGATTCTCAGAATGTGTCTTAATCTTGAAAGTCATTACTTTGAGAGTTTGGTAATATTTTAATTTCAGTAAAAGTGTGGATTTTGCATTATTAGTGGACTATGATCTTCATCCTATACAAAACAGAAATGATCTTGAAGACGAAGAAGAAGTATTGTGGAGGAGAGAATATATAGAAACTTTTTCTCAGTTTCCTTTCCTGTGTCAGGACTAGATACCTACATTTCAAAATTTTCTTTGTGAATTTTAATCCTGAAGGCATGAGAAGGATATGTTAGGTACACCACGCTGGTTTATATTACTAAACTAACTCCATGTAGCAGATTCTTTCATGAGAAGGTGGCAATTACTCAACTGAGAAATTCCCCGTACATCGCAGCACAGTGTAAAAAGTTTGCAGGGAAGCTTGTAACATCATGAACGTGTTTGATAAAGATTGCTTGTGTTGGTCAATGTTTGATTTTATGACAAAGAGGAATGTCACACAGTGTCAGAAACGAAACGAAATTATGGAGGAAAATTAGAAGTTCCCAGTTTTGTTCAGTATAAAGTCCTGAAACACATTAAATTTTTAAATAACGTGAGAACCAGGTTGTATTGTTGCAACTAAAAACCAAGGCCCAGCCGCGGTGAAAAACCGCCTCAGAACACAACCAAAATTACGTTGCATTTTCTCGTATTGTATTGGCGAGGGCATGAATTAATGTAAAGATAAGTGAACTGCCGCGCGCGCCATATGAGATATCCCACATACCATTGACTCGAAAACGGTAGTAGCAAAGTTGTACCATTTTGCCGTAACCTTCAAGCATGCATGTACAAGATTGCTTGCACTGCTGAAAGCCCTACTATTGCAGTCGAGAAATGGTAAATTTTAAGGAACTCACTTGAGCGCAAAATGTTACCTGAGTTCAAATGGTATTGTCTGAGTGTTATTAAAATGACTGCTTCTTAATTTTTTTTCTTCGGTGGCATTTTATGGGAATATATTGTGTAATAATGGTAATTATTAATGATGCTGAAAATAAGTCTAATAAGTGCAAAAATAATATTGTGTCTTGATCTTATTTCGCTGAAATGTACGAGCAAAGTAGGTTATCATGTGCGTTAGGATTGCATGATCTAAAATATTACGTGTGTCATGTAGCTCTTTTAGTGTCATTTACAAATTAGAAATACTTTCCTATCTATTTCATGGTATTTTTGTGTAATTATTACTGAAATCAGCTAGTTTCAGTGGCGTATATTGTGGTCATTTTAGGTTATGTTCTGACGTGTAATTATATTTATTTACTTTTTGTGAAAAATATGTGATATTAGTATTGCAGAATATAGGGTGCTGTTACAAACGCTTTATTTTTTTTGCACCATCTTTAAAGTACATAAATAACTAATTATGGACTCTGATGTTTTTTTCAGATTGTTCGTCGTACAGTTTTGTCGCTGACTGCTCTTTTTGTGCTAGTCCTAACTGCCAATGTTTACTTTGTGTATGTAATTGTAGAAGAAAGGTCTCCCAATATTGAAACAAATAATGAAGTTGTGGTAGGTACAAGTGTAGTGAAGTTCTGAGATTATATACAGGTAAAATATTATTATTCTTTCACAGTGCTATTCTCAACAGAAATATTGAGGCATATATCATAGAGTAAAGTAACCAAAAATAATTTAAGGTAATCTTACTTAAATAAGCTACACTAACAAAATAAAACCATATGTGATTATGAAGTACTAAAAGCCTGCCCCAGTAACTTTTGAGCAGTACTCAGGTTCCTGTGAATATGGAACAGACTGGTGGAATTATCAGTAAGGGAACATGTCATACAATAATACTGTGTGCTCCATTAATGTGTATTTTTGTTGTTATGCAGTCATTCTAACCATGTCTGTCTGTTCCATTTTTCAGCTCCTGAATTGTGATTTAATTTCATATTTGAAATTCTGATGTCGGTCTACGTTTGCTTATTATGATGCACATATAAATTAATTTAAAATTTTATTGGAATATCTGTTTCCTCTGCAGAAATTAGGAGCTTTGAAAAGTTTAGAGTTAATTTGTTGTGTCCATATACTTTTAAGTCTTCTTAGATTCTCTTTTTACTTTTTGAGTATATTTGTGTGCCATTTTAAAGATTCTGTCTTCTTGCAGCCTGTTTGCATGTTGTCTCAAGCTGAATTGATAATTGTTATGTTGTCATCTTCATAGTTTGCAGCCTGAATTTTATTTCTTCATCTTTGCATTCTGTCTCTTAAAGTTACATTCAGTAACAACCTAGTAAATCTTATAGAAGATGTTTCTTAAAAGAGAATTATTTGTGAATGAAAGAAATGTTATATCTCAAGTTACAGAATGCATATGTCTACTTATATTTTTATTTCTTATGACAGGTGGGCCATGAAGATAGAAATATAGTTGCTCCATCTGTTATAAACAAATTATTAAAACCAGAACAGAAAACAGTATACAGAAATGCAACCCTTAGTGCAATTCAGAAAATCAAACACATGCTGTTAAAACTCTCTTCCGAGTACTACAAGGTGTCTCTGTCTTACAAGCAGGTTCTCAATCAACTTCTTGAAGATTTAAAGCCTTCAGTTGAGATGTCAACAGAGCTGTGGGGAACAGCTCATAAGGTGCGTATGTGGGACCATTAGAAAGGGACGGGGGAGAAATCTTATTGAAAATTACTCGTGACATTTATTTATTGCTTGTCAAAATACTTTTTTGCTTTAATGCTTTTATCCTCTCCTGTTTGGCGGTTACCAAGACATGTTGAAAGCATTTGTATGATCATCTATTTGAGTGTACCAGTTTCAGTATTGGTAGTATGTTCAGAGCCTGTTGGAAACCTATCAATTATCTCTGTACATTGCCCAGTTTTGCTGAGATGGCTTGCATCTTCATGGTATAGGAACAGTCTCGTCCTCCAGCTCACTGAATTCTAATTAACATACGTAGTTAATATATGTTCCTTGAATAACTCATGACACACTTGACTGCCTAAATTATTATATACAGTGTCATTTTCCAGTCTTCAACCTATGACAGTAGCAGAAGCAGATATGTAGATTCTGTCTCCTGACAGTGTTATTAATATCAGAATTAATATTGAGGAAATAGGATACATCATGATCCAAATTCACTGATCTCATTGTTGGTCTTTATTATATATGCATGATGTTCCTTCCTACTTCAGTCCCACAAAGGGCTTATTATGATTGGCCTATTCCTGTCAACAGAGCATGATATAAACTAGCTGCTTCCCAGCCTTCTTCACTTCTTTGAAATCTGGTCATGAGTCCGAGTAGTGACTTGACACCAAGACAGACTGGCTGACTGACTGTCAGTCATAAAGTGACTTGGACTTCCTCACTTCAGCCCTGATAGAGGTAGTATGGTCCTCTGAAATGTTGGCAACGAGCACCCAAAAGCAGGTTAAGGTTTAATAACGAATTGCCATTCTTTCCAAAGTAGTTCAGTATTAATTGCTTGAGAAGGTGATAATGGTTAATATTAGACTTTGTGAGCTCCTCATTTCAATATCTTCTTTTCTGTTTGTGTTGTAATTTTTTTCAGTGGGTAGGAGCAAGAGAGATTGTTCCGAAACATGCCCCGCACCTTGGCAGTGTCCTTCGAACGCTCTGTTCCACAAAGATTATCCGAGCTGAGAATGCACAGCAACAAGGCACACAGCTGAAAATGATGCTTACATTGCTAGGAAACCAAAAGGCAGTGTTTAAGCCCCAGTGGTGAGTTGGAATAAAGTGTGCTGTTCAGAATTTGAAATTGATATTTTGAAGCTAATTAGTTGGTTTATTCATTAACTTTAAGGATTCTATGAGAGCAGGCAATGTTTTCCTAGATGAATAACTACTTAACCAGTTGACAGTTTTGGATGTCTGTAGGATATCTGACAATTCACGTGATGTTTCCTATAGATATGAAACTTAACTGAATGAGAGTTTAATTATTTTATTTGTGTACAGAGATGGAGTATGTTTACATAGAAGATACATGATAATTTTAAGGTATTTATTTTGAAATGTTATAATGTATTTTATATTTGTGCATATGTAGACATTCTTTAAATATATGACGGTCTGCTACGAAGTTCTAAGTACCTTGTAATTAGTTGTTTATTTTGCTTTTCAACTTTATTGCACAAACCTTTTCCTTGTAAAAGAATTGACCAAACTTATGGAGCGGTCTGCCGTGATCCAGTCCACGTAGTACATGAAGTTGGGTTTTATATGGTGTGTAATTTTTATGTACATGAAAAGATGACATGGCCATTCAAACTGTTTTCTTTTGAAGACTTTCTGCTTCCAGTTTTGTGCAGGGAGATCTCTGCTATATCAAGTTCTTGTGAAATTAGAGGGGATAATCAAATAGTACCAGATTCCTGAATGAATTTACTGAAGATATTTTAAAAAAAATTCTAAGTTATTATAATTGGTGGTCATATGTCCTGGGAAACTTTCACTTGTTGAATTGTTGCAGAATGGCTGAAGTTTATTTAAATCGAAATTGTAGGTTAGGAAAAACTGAATTTTTCCAATGCTGTTATAAAATAAACTCTTTCAAAATTGTCATAAATGTCCCAAGTGTTTTTGGAATTCTCTCGGAGACCTGTAGAATTTTGAGGATTTTAACTAGTATTGGATAAGTCTTATCCAAAAGGTGCAATGATAATTGGTTAAAGACAAATTATTTACCTTAAATGAGTAATTTATTCACTTGTATTGTGGCGGTGGTAGAATGGTCTTAGAGATAATTGATACCGTCTCAAGCACAGAAATAAATCTTAGGACAGCTGATCTTTAGGCGTGTTTTATAATGAAATTCATTGTTTTCCATATGTGAAATACATCTGAAATATTAAGCTTTACTGTTCATAGGTATTCACGCAATAAAGTGATTGGTGGCCCTGTGTATGCAGGCAAAGACAGGCATAATGCTGAAGTGGCAGCATTTCACTTGTCAGTACTTCTGGGATTACGAAGAAGTCCCCTGACAGTGGGTCGCAAAGTGAACTTGCGTCGAGAAGTGATGCCAGTTGCTACTAATGACCTGCTTGAAACATTCTACCAAGAAGGTGCAGTAAAACTTGTTGATTGCTTGGATGCTGTATTTGTACGCATTGGTTATTTATGGTTGTGTAAACATATCAAATAGTTCAGTTCAAAAGTTGAACTAAACTTGAAACAGACTTAACCATCCCCACTTCTCTACCTGTCACTCACCTCCCACTTTACTCTCCTACAGATATTTAACCTGCAAGTGGCCACATTGGAACACCTTCAACACATGACATGGGTTATCCCTGAAACCTAAAGTTGTTAATGAACATTATTTTAGTTTGTCCTGTTGCCTTTTACATAGGAAACAACACATGTTTCTATGGAGTGTGCTACTTCTGCGGTCCCAACCAGCCAGTATGTGCGCAGAAGGATGTAATGGAGGGTGCCCTCATCCTGTGGTTGCCACCAGAATATAAACTCAAGAAACATCGTAGCCCATGGCAGAGAACTTACAAACCACAGACAATTGCGAGGTGAGTGTTTTATTTATTACATTTTGATGTTTCTAACAAGCATAGAAATGTTCTTACTCTTGGAATTTCTTAATGTTCCAAAATATTTAAAATGTGTGCCCCTCCATATTAAAGCATTGATACTCTTTGATTTTGTCTGTTTAAAAGTACCTATGCGCAACTAAAATATACATTTAGAAATTAATCAAAACTTTTTTTTATGTATATGTCTTTTGCCTGGTAAGTAAACTGTTTGGACAACCTTTCATTGATGTAGTAACATTTTGTAAGTGACAGAATAGATACAGCATAATCATGATAGAATGAGTAGGGTTTATGATCAGAACATGCTTGTAGTGAGAAAGATCATAAGCACTGTTATTTTGTCAATGTTGCATATACGTAGGGCAATCAAAAAGTTCCCGGAATTGTGGTATAACACTGTAATGGTAGGACATGTGGCGACGCTTACCTAATCACCTTCAAAGTAGGACCCTTGCCCACACACACACTTGCTCCATCGATCCTGCCATTGTTGGAAGCACCAGCGGAAGGCTTCGTTTGGAATCTTCTGGATTTCGGCCGTCTCACTCGACACATCACTGGTTGTGCAGCAATTCCTCGCCGAGAAAAGCATTCCTGTCATCACCCAACCACCATACTCTCCGACTCTCGCTCCGAGTGACTTCTGGCTGTTCCCTACTCTGAAAATGGGCCTCAAGGGGACGCGTTTCACAACTATGGAGATCATCAAATCGAATGCGATGGCCGAACTCCGGAAGATTCCAAACGAAGCCTTCCGCCAGTGCTTCCAACAATGGCAGGGTCGATGGAGCAAGTGTGTGTGTGCACAAGGGTCCTACTTTGAAGGTGATTAGGTAAGCGTCGCCACATGTCCTACCATTACAGTGCTATACCACAATTCCGGGAACTTTTTGACTGCCCCTCGTAAGTGTTTCATGGTAGACCTGAAGTTTTCAGTTCATTTCATTATTGACCTTCTTGAATGTTAATTGAACTGTCAACCTGAGTCTGTATCACTGCCAGACTTATGAACAGAATTGTCTACCGCTTCACTATCGTAATTATCGGAGTCATGTCATATTGTAGTGTATTTACGGTTCAGGACTCGGAGAAGATGAGGAAAGAAGCGGTTAATGGCTTCTTTTAAGGTAACATTGCAGTATTTGCCTGTCTGGGCTTGTAATTATGTTTTTGCTGTTTCATGTATCATATTTTTAATATAATTCATATGTGTCACATGTATACAATAAGTTTGATTATTTTATCTTTACTTGACAAAAAATTGTTATTTGTATTGAAAAATATTATACACGGTATACACAGAACATTTATATATGCAGTTCTGTGTGTGTAATGAAGGCCAACAGCTTGATCAAGGCTTTTCTATAGTTATTTTTGTTGTATGCAACGTGTACCATGTTTCAGATGGGAAGTGGATAAAAATTACTGTGAAAGAATTAAAGCCATGAAACTGTACAATCCCAGCACCGGACCTCGCCTATTGGATCTGATTGATGCAGCCATTTTTGACTTTCTTATTGACAATGGGGACCGTCATCACTACGACGTGTTTGAAAATGTGACAAACTCTATGGTCCTGTTACTGGACAATGGAAAGGGGTGAGGTCAGATATGAAATAGCTTAAACACAATAAACAGTAAACAATAATCAGTATAAATTGATACCTGTCAATGAAGTAATTGGACCAATTTTGTAAAAAAATAAATATGTTGTGACCGAGCTTAATTGAGTGTGGTCACCTTCAAAGACATATGACTTTATACATGAGTTTGATTGTCTTTGTTATCCATGGAAACATTGCTGAAAATCATTTTAGTACTGTTGTCACATTTTCAGTGATTCAAAATGAGACCATATGAAGAAGAACCTGAAATTTCACAAAAACATCAGTCTGCTTATTTTATTTTTTAACCCCATGTTTAGGACTTGCATCACAATATGGTGCCCCGTCTGAGTCTCTGCTGTGAACCTGTCATCACATTATGCATTTTGAAATGTCAGTTTGCTGTAATTTTGTAAACTGTTCTCAAAAATGGTAATGTGGTCTCTTAGTAGTTTCAGTATTTTCTGAATTGATGGCGTATAAGAACATACACATCAAAATTATACTGAAGCCAACTCAGAACAGATGGACAGAAATGACGTGTGTGTGTGTGTGTGACAAAGTAGCGGAGGAATTATTCACTGACATTAGTTCCAGTGTTGATACAAAGATCTCTCGTGATAATGACGGTGAATCTGTAGTAGCAGTGACAATAATAATATTGGTAATGTTGATAGTAGGAACAGACCTATGCTCTACACCCATATGATGAGTAACATGAGAGAAAAATGTAGGTTATGTTTTAGTAATAGTGGTAACATGATGATGTTAGTGTAAATAGTGTGAATGATTATATTACCAAACACTTTCTGGGTATTTCTGTATATTCCAGTGATATATGGGGACTATGTGAGATTTGAGGTTTTCACAGCGGTGAGTATGAAGATTTCTGTCTTCTGGGTTGTTGCGCTGTGTAGTCTGGTCAATGTTTGCGAGGTCATACTGCCTCCGTCCTAATGACGGAATATGACCTCTGAAACGTTGGTTAACATGTACCATACTACACAGCGCAACAACCCAGAAGACAGAAATCTTCATGTGGGGATTAGTTTAAGATATGATGTGCTGTTGTCTGAAGAAGTGGCTGAGAACACCAAATGTCCAGATCTCATTGTGTTGTGTAATACCTATGTTAATGGTGTGTGTAGTCTTAGAAAGATGTTAATTAATGAATTTGTAACTTTCAGTTTTGGAAATCCACACCGAGATCATCTGGACATTTTAGCTCCTCTATACCAATGCTGCATGTAAGTTTTGAGTTTTGTTCCAGAAAGTCTGTGTGGTGTCTATACTTCAGGTCCTATTACCTAAGGGTTAGTCTACAGCAGTGGTATTCAACCTGGGGTACGCGTACCCCCAGGGGTATGCGAAGACATCTTAGGGGGTACGTGAAATTTAAAAAAATATATATATATTTTATGATAAACACTGAATAATCAGTAATGTAATTTATTGAATTTATTGTAGTTGTAGATTATATACTATGTATAACTTGAATTATACACCAACAACTTTGGGGGTACAAAGTTAAAGAGAAATTATATCTGGGGATACGCAAACAAAAAGGTTGAATACCACTGGTCTAGAGATTGTGTTTAATTCTAAACAGGCTACTAATAAATAAGAATTTGGTTTCCTGGGTCATTTCATTAAGTCTGTAATGTGATAAAAATAAGTTAACTGTTTAATAATCTTTTAGTTACACAACATTCACATTCATTTGTGTACCTTATTGGATATTTATTTACTTATTTTGTTGTTCATTGCTGATATTTCTAATTTCACTCTAGCTTTTCTGTTCCTGCAATGCTCTTTGTGATGGATGGTTTGTAACTCTTGATAATTGCCATGCAGGGGGGCTGTGACTTCAACTTAATTTTTCTTGGAGGACATAATTTTTCTTTTACATATGGAAGCCAGAAAATCTATAACTTTTTAATAGATATTTGGGTGCAACTTGGTAGCATTTGGAAAACCAAACAATAAAAATGTGGGTCCATCTTCTGTGAGTCACATTGCTTAAGCTTCATTAGTATAGTGCAGCGTTTCCTAACCTACGGTATGCTTACCACTGGTGGTATGTGAACTAAGTAAGAAAATTAAAAGATATTGTTAACATAAGTAAGTTTTTCGTGAACGCATTTGGTTAGTGGTATATTTAGTGTGTTAAATTAGAATTAGTGGTATGCCAGCAATAAGGGGTGAGAACCCCTGCTATAGGGCAATTTCACACATGTGAACTGTTTAAATTGAAAAATGATACACAAAGTCAGATATAATATGCGTTATATGTAGTGAAAAACAGGTGGAATAAATTTCATTGGAGCACTAAAATTTACATGTTAACACTACAAATTTTCTTCAATAATGACATTTGGAAATGTATATATTATTTCAAATACTGAGTGTGCAGTTAGAACTCGCTTCCCTTGACAATTGAGTACCAATTGTGTCATTTTCAGGATAAGAAAATCCACATGGGACAGACTACAATATTTCTCAGGTAATGCTTTGAGCACGTCGCTCGAGGCACTGCTCCAGCACAGCCATATCACACCGGTGCTGTCATCATTGCATTTTAAGGCATTAGATCGACGTCTTCTCTTCGTGTTTGCCGCTGTTGAAGTATGCTTTGAACAGCGTGGAAGAGAGAGAGTTCTGGTGTATGATGCTGTGAGGTAACGTTTGCCTCAGCATTTTTAATGTGAGAAAAATCAATCTTACTTGAATATATAGGCCTACAAGAAGGTGGGAGAATCATTTTATTTGCCAGCTTAGCCATTTGTCATGTTGTGTTTCTCGTGATGAGAATAGTCGGTGACCAATTATGAGTTCTGAAAGAAGAACTGATGATTCTATTATGATCCAGTCTTTAACCCACTGGTAGTTGCGGACATGTATCCTGTGCACTGTTACTATCTTTGTGCAAGTCAGATGAATTATTTTGCCGAGGTACAGCACGTTCCTTCTAAGGGATTTCTTCTGAAATTTTGGTCCATTGCTCAAGTGCTGCAGTGTGGGGCCTGTTCCTTGCATTGGTTTCATGACAAGTGAAACATAAAATGTGAGAAGGTTAGGTTTTTATTTTGTTGATCACAAGAAGTAGTACCCAAAGTTTTTTTGGTTGAACAGTCAAATGTTAAGTAAGGGTACCAGAGGTGAATCATTCTTCCTTCATAAAATTATAGGAAAAAAGGTTATATTTCTGGAAAATTTTGAGTAGGGTAAAACTGGATTTGGTGAAAGTGAATTTTAAATGGAATAACAAATTCTACAGTCTACTTTCGTTTAAATGCTTTTACCATTTGTATAGGGAGGTTAATGGAAATGGTAAATAATTCATTGATACATCAGCAAAAGAGTTTAAGTGAGTACAAATTGCATTTTATGTAAGCTCATTTTACAGACCATTAAAGGGTTCAAAAATGTTGTTCCAGTCTTGAAATGTTTGTGCCCCCCTAAATAAACTCAGTTTCTTAACTTTTTAATATGTACAGTGGTTGAAGATTATGTATGTTTTGAAACCTGAAACATCCACATCCAAATTCTTGAAAGGAAATGTCACTGTGGAAAATTTAGTTTCAGAACCAATGCCATAGACCATTCATCTTCTATCGTCTGTTAAAAAAAATACTGGAATTTACAGGGAAGATCTCTGTTTGGATTATGGTGTTTCAGGTTGACACTGTGTAATTGTATAGGTGGTTACTATCATTTCAGAGGAGTCACTCCAAAACATTTCTGTGCCTATGAGGCTAACTCAGAAGATATCACACTGAATTGTATATATTTGACAGAACTACAGGAGTGGTACATATCGGTAAATAAGTTGCGTGTAATTACTCATACTGAAGAATTAAGGGCTTAAAGCAGGACCACCAGACTCATAAGCTTCCATGTCAATTTTACAGTTTATTGTTATGGCTCAGGCTGTATTATCAGGGAAGAAAAAGATTTGATAGTGTTTGATATTTAAGATGTAATTTTATAATTAATTTTACTTATAATTTATTTGCATAAAATTATTGATATTGTGTCAAATGTGAAATAATTAATTTCACCCTGGCTATGATGAACTTTTAAATGTGATTATAAGTCCACAAATAATTTGGGAGCGGTTATTGACTTGCGGATTTCTTTGTAATTATTATTCGTCTGCTAATCTCTGTTACTAGACCAGTGACTGAGGTCACTGTTTCTAACAGACCTAACTCAGTAGGTGTCCCTTCCCTTTCCACCCTCTATCCGTGGTGCGAAGATGAGAAAAATGTGTCTTGCCAAACTCCCAGGAATGTTCACACATCTTGGGAAGGAAAGTGTAGACTAGGACTTTGAGCTGTGTTTCTAGTGGACACATTTGCAGTTAGCATTTTATAACATATTTTATACAGAAAATTTTCTTTTGGTGTAACATTTTTAATTATATATAATGTTAATCTTATAAATTTCATGGATAAAATTGTCTTCACCCTTCAGCATAAAGGGATGTGTTCTACGTTCCCTTTTTTTCTGTCAGGAAGGAAGAAAAACTCTTCTTATGTGCAAATATATTTTTCTTATTTATCTTGTTTTTTAGATGTATACTATATTTTTTTGCGCAAGAAAGAGGTTATATTTTAAAATGTGAAAAATTTGATTAAATTAATTATTTGAAATTACAGTATGTTATTGACAAAATACCAAAAATATGGAAGTACAAATTTTATTTGAGTCATTCTAATTGCTTTAGAGTTATAGATTTATAAATTTGATTGTTATGAAAACACATTTTTATAGATACCAATAAGTGATTCAGATGTTTAAGCAGAGCCTGTGTTAAAATATTATTCCATTGTTTTGGATGACAGTCCATTTCCTCTGTTCTGTGGTTTATATACATTTACAAAATATTTTTACTTCAGAAATAATCGTTTTAATTTAAAGTGTCAATGTGCTCTTCAAATCTTGGATTGTTGTGAGTAATTGTTAAATACATATCTTAATCATGTTACAGTCTAACTGGCCTCATTAATATGAGGGTATGTAATATGCCTGCAATTTTCTGTTATATCTTTATAATGTGGCATAAACCAAATTAAAAATAGATGAAGTACTCTTGGGCTACAAATTAAAATTACATCAGCTTTGGAATGAGCAATAAATTTCGGTAAGTCTTGTTATATTCTCTGCTTATCAGATGAAGTTTCAGTTTGTATACATTGAAATTACTCCACATTGGAGCAATACTACAAGGGCTTTTATTTCAGGAATTTCTACTGTGACATCTTTAGTTATATAAACTGTCATGACCTTTTTTAAATTCTTTACAATGTTTGTAAATTATTTTATGTGATCAAATTGTTATAGATTTTTGTACCATTCCTCTGAGAACTGTGTATTTAGTTCTGTACAAATATTGTGTGGAGATGTTATAATGATTGATCATTAAAGTGTATGAAATTAAAGAAGTTTATTTTGAGTGGGACTTCAGGTTGTCATGGCAGCAAGTATAAAGATGGTTGTCACCTGTTGCACTAGTCTTTTAGGGTCACAAGTGTACATGTCACAACCCCAAAGAACACAGTCTGAAATCACTGCCTTCAAACTGTGAATGTCATATACCTTTAAAATACAATGACTTCATGTAACTGACCACAGTCAACACTGGCCATTCTTTTAACTATTCAGTTAGAAATCTCGTAATTTCTTATTCGGTTTTACATAACGTCAGCAGTTGATATAACATAGTAAATTGATCCAAAAAGTATTATGAAACGCGCTAGGAATGCGTTCCCGTCGTAAAATTGCTAATTCCACAATCGATATGAGTGAAGTCTATTGCAGAGATCGTACATATTTCCATACCTTTGCCTTTGAATTTAGTCTCAAACCGATTAGTGAGAGTTGAAGGTCGCTTTCGGAATCGCGCTGTTCATGTAACGTTCTTTCTATTGCGTTAGATGTTTGTTCAATGTTGGCACTAAATTTTTCATTTGACTAGCAAGACAGTGGAAGATTCTGAGAGGTCTGTTAGTTACATGAATTTGTTGCTTTTTACATGGCATTTATTATTCGTACCTGAAATTAGTATAGTAACGCTCGTAACAGGTTATGTTCATTGTCACGTGGCAGGTTGCCAAACGGATTATCTAAATCATTGTGAGAAGTGGGGATTGGGTGTTTTGCTTAAAGCCATATGTTTTGTAGTACTATTTTATTTCCACGGAAATGATTTTAAGAATGTTGTCGATGTGTTATGTGTCTGCAAACGGTAGAAATAATTGTTAAATATCTTGTCTTGTAAGAACCACTCGACAGTATGGTGACCATCACCTTCATTCTTTTTCATAACTCATTTTAAAATACGAAGCAATTTGAAATGAAATGGACAACGTACACGAGTAACTTGTAGCGGTGGAAAACAGGCAGGTCCCGAACGCGAGCGTTTCTGATCGTTTACAGTTGCTTGGTGCGCGGTAGAATACAATTATGTTGGGTGTAAGCCCTTGCTATACTTAAAACAACTATCGAAGCGTGTGTTGTGAAAACGTGCGATTGCTTCATTTTTAAGTGAGTGCATGAGTGAGGTATTACAGGAAGAAGATCGAACTTTTATTCAGTGTCGTGAATATATTTAATATAAATGACAGTTATGCTGTGAACACAAACTCTTCCTGCAGCGTTCTAGCAGTCTTCAAAGGTAGGACATTAGTAAATGTAACTGAGTTTTATTTACCCACTAAGAAAATAATGCCTCTCTGCAGAGTTATGGGGCAGGTACGTATAGCAAATGAGTTAATTAAACAGCTTTCAGAGAATGTCGAATATGGATTGGTGATTGTTGAATTATGCCCATTTTTCATGAAAACCCTGTAGTTTACATAATATTGCTCTTTATATTTTGAAACGTAAGAACGTCTGAACTGTGCGGTCAGAACTATATAAAGTAAATAGAGCAAGAATTTCGTTGCAAGGATATCAGCTATATTTAATGCATATAATGTGGTTACTTAACTGATCTGCTTAAATACGTGAAACTGACACACGCATTATTCCAGTTTTAATTAATAACATATAGCTATTCCAACTTTAACTTAAAACATTATCAGTTAGAAAAGTGAAAGAACTTGACTTTGGCAGGGATTACGTTTGATAGAATGAGTTTAAAATACTAGTTAACTAACAGGACTATAGGAATAAGTAACGATGCAATATGCTACTGCTGTTTCAGATAATGAGTTTAATAGTAATTTCCCAATTTGCCTGACTTTGTTATAGCCAAACACATCATCTATGTTTTGCAGGCGGTCGACTAAATACAACATAATGTAATAATGTTATTTAACCAATAAGTATCGTCTTTACCTCAAAGTTATAAGCACGTATTTCGCTGCTATATTGTTTTTGTAATCTAAACTTTTTTGCGAATATTTTTCGCAGAACTTCACATTTAATTTAACAAGTAGCGTTTGGAGTTGAAGCGTGAGTATATTTGTATGACCTGCATATGTGACGTCCTTAGTTATAAGCGTTGAGTATAAAATGGTTAAAATATGCCAAGAATGGAAATCTAAGCGCATAAAGGTGAAGACTTGTTGAACATGTGTGTAAAATAGTTGATTCCAGTTTCAGAAATGTAAAGAAACTATTTACATTGCGAGAGAAATAGGTTTTAATTTTGTAGGGTTTTGTGAATTTTGAGGCTGTGGAGACAAAGATATGTATGTGTTTGTCTATTAAAAGTGGGCCTGCTATCTTAGCAATTTCCTGGACTTAACAAAAATCTCTGGCATATAAATTAATATACAGGATCCTGGATGGAACTGAATAAGTGAGCAACTCATACAAGTCAGAAGCTCTGAGGAAAACTTTTAACTTGGTGCCCCATTTTCCTGAATAACATCCATTGACAAACTAAGCTTTATCACATGGTCGCGCGATGGATGCGTGTTCTCGTGATGTGGGCGAAGTTGCGTCAAATAGATCCAGTGTGCAGGAAATAAGCCTGCGGTGAGGCGAGGTCAAAGCGAAGACAGAATCGTTTGGAAATTATATTCATATTGTGTATCACAAAGCACAGCCAAGGGGCACGCCCAGTCTGTGACAATGCTTCTTGTAGCAGAATGATATTCTAATTACATTTGTATGTCTGTGTGCAGTGGGGTGGCTTGAGGTTATGTGCGAAATAACAACCCATTTTTGAATTTACAGCGTAGTGATGGACTGTTCGAAGAGCTTGTTACACGATGTTTATTCTGGGTATATTCCGGTGGATGTCTAATACATACTGCGTTTCGGGAGGTAGGATTACCAAGGTGATTACATGAAATATTAGAGTTCAATTTAGGAGAATGTACAAGGCATCGGATCCAGTTCAGATTTTTCCGTTGGTTTATGATTTTCTCAGTAATAACAAAGTCAGAAACTTTATGTAGGCAGTCACCGCGGTTCGGATCCCATGTTATGCTGTATATCCAATCTGCTGGAAAATTTTTTCCTTCGTCATCCAATCAGTATATTGTGTTTAAAATTAGCACATTTGCGACTGCCTGTCTCAGTTTGACAACAGTTGAAGAGATTTTGATAAATTTTAGTATGGGGGCGACTCCAACGTCGTACTTTATAATCTACCACAATCGCCGATTACAACATGGCGGATGGGCTCACGTCTGAGGTGCGGCGGCATTAGCATCATTTAATAAGCAACCCTGAAATTACGTTTGGTAAGACAGGGTGTCCCATAAGTTCGGGCGAAGGGATAACAGTTATTTGTCAAATGTGTAAAGTGTAATGAGGGAAAAGTTATTGCAGTTCATGTAGAGGTCGCGGGAATGATCTGTCAGGAACAGAAATAAGTAATGGAAGGAAGGAAGAAAGAAAGAAAGAAATGAAAGAAAACAACGCTCTGAACCCGAAGCTCATCTAACTGATATTTACCAATTAATTCCGTTCCAGAATGAAAAGTCAATATTTAAACATTGCAAATATCAGTTGGTTAATGCTGTTTAAAGACTTAATCACCGTTTAAACTCAGAAACATACGAAACACATAAATACACTGTGGGCAAAATGCAGTTACTGAATAAAGATTTCTGTCTTCTGGGTTGCGCCGTGTAGTCTGGTAGATGTTAACCAACGTTTCAGAGGTCATACGGCCTCCGTCATCAGGGCGATGAGGTTTTCACAGCGGTGAGTATGAAGATTTCTATCTTCTGGGTTGTTGCGCGGTGTAGTCTGGTAGATGTTAACCAACGTTTCAGAGGTCATACGGCCTCCGTCATCAGGGCGATGAGGTTTTCACAGCGGTGAGTATGAAGATTTCTATCTTCTGGGTTGTTGCGCGGTGTAGTCTGGTAGATGTTAACCAACGTTTCAGAGGTCATACGGCCTCCGTCATCAGGGCGATGAGGTTTTCACAGCGGTGAGTATGAAGATTTCTATCTTCTGGGTTGTTGCGCGGTGTAGTCTGGTAGATGTTAACCAACGTTTCAGAGGTCATACGGCCTCCGTCATCAAGGCGATGAATGAGCCAGTTGAGTGGAGAGTCATTCATAGCCCTGATGACAGAGGCAGTATGACCTCCGAAACGTTGGTAAACATCTACCATGCCGAGATGCAGAACAGCGACGACACTCTTGATGACAGCAACCGTAGCTGCACTGTATCTTGGCATGGAACCTGTAGATTAAAACGTGCAAATATTTGTCGTCTTCTCGCCCTACTTAGCATAGGAATGAGTTCGCTCCACCAAATTAAACTCCAACTATTTGTAATATTCCGTGAAGAAGAAAGATGGTCCCAAGGTATGTCACGCTTCATTCTCTGGGAATTTTATAACTTAGAGTCAGGTTCTCCGATATTTCCTAGTTAATTACCATTAAATTTTGACAGTGCCGAATACTGGTCTGGAGGTTTCGTCGTGCGGAAATGCAGTATTATTAAATCCCTCAACAATATACAAATAATAATATACAGCTGTTGTGTTACGGGTCTACAGTAAAGCATTACTTTTGTATTTATATAATTTTAATGGCCTGGTGGTCAGTTACTGTGGCGAGATCGGAGAAGTCCCTGTTGATATTTGAATGTGAACTATTTATGTGGGGTCACATGCTGTTTTCCTGACACATCCTGATAGCTGTGGATAGTTTCTTTGCGTTTTGAACCCTCTTCTAATATCCAAAATGAGACAGACTCACAGTTGGGATCTACGTATTTTCTTTCTGTCTTCGCCAATTGACAATGGACCGTTTAGTTTATTATTTTCTTATCGCTCCATCTGTGAACACTAAAACATTAACGTATAATACCGTTTTTGTAAATGCCACTATCTCCATCCAAGTTAGTACGTCAGGGTGGTAAAGTCATTAAATGTAATATTATTCTTATGTTTCCATGGTGTGAATGTAAAATTATGGGATTCTAGAAAAATCCGACGATATGTCGTCCGTCACACTGTATCCACTTAACGTTTCGTCGGCGATATTTCGGTAATAGCGAAAATGTTAATTTTTGAAATGAGCGTACACATTTATTCGCTCTTTTCTTCTTTATTTCCTTTATTTCGAATTTATTTGTGCCCTTTTTCCTTTCGTCCATGCGTTCTAACTACGCCCCTTCTTTTCTCTCTTCGGGTCTTGCGTTATTACCGTACGGGTTATAAGCTCCAGGAACGCCGTCGCACCAGATTGTAAATCGCTGCTGTGTCTTGTTGGTGTTACCAGGACCCGTCCTCTCTCACTCCCAATCCCAGCTGTTTCAGGAATGTGCTCAGTACAGGCACAGCTATGGAGGATGCTGTAGAATGACTTGTATTGAGGAGTGTGCTTCATATGGGTCCGTTGTTTGCACAACTTTCATATTGACTTCACTTGGTGATACGATATTTTTCTAGGCAAAAAATGAATGAATATTATTACAAGTTGTACATAAAAGTAAATACAAAAACAAATAAATTAGTTGGCACTGGATAAGTAAATAGGTATCGGAAAATAAACTAATCAAGAGAAGTAATTAAATAGGATTTGAGGTTTTAACGGAGGTGAGATTGAAGATGGCTGTCTTCTGGGTTGTTGCGTCGAGTAGTCCGGTCGATGTTAACCAACGTTTCAGGTGTTAACATCGAAATGTGTAGTCATTTGTTAATATAGCAACAGATATATTGTATCGAATGTTATAATTCGTGCAGTTTATTCTTATTAAACCATGTACTTAATACGGATCACGCAGTGTAGGATAATCAAGGGAAACGTCACTCGAGGTTCGTGCTGGACCTACCGCTGCATCTTCCATGCAGCTCGTTGTCACTTGAGTTATGTGGCTTGATATACAAGCACGGTTTATTTCGCTGCGTTCCTCCTGTTGCCCACATCCTTGTCCATCGCCGCCCTTATCGGAATCTACGCCCTTATGCAACTGCCAAGGAGGAGTGTGGGGGGGGGGGGGTAAAAGACGTCGTGACCATGGTGAAGGAATCTTGCTTAACGCAGTTTGATCAGAAATCCCTATAAGCAAAGATATTGGTGAAGTAGTAAGTTTGAGGGTATTACTCAACCTGAAAATTGTGTGAAGATGGCTGTCTACTGGTTAATTGCGCCGTGTAGTCTGGCAGAAGTTTGCCTACGTTTCAGAGGTGCATGATGCCTCCGTCATCAGGGCGATGAGGTTTTCACAGCGGTGAGTATGAAGATTTCTGTCTTC